GTAGCGTAAAACTCGTTTAAATGGCAGGGCGGACCTTAAAACGCAGTATAATAAAAGGTCCGCCCTCTGTTTTTCTTTTTCCCCAGATACATGTATCTCACAGTTACAAAGCAAAAATTATGGAAGTTCTGTAAGTTCCGATTGTTTTTTTTTTTCTTTGTTGGTTCGTGCGTTTTTCCAGGTTAAAAAAAGATAATTGGGTTTTTAAAGTTTAGGATGGAGGCTAAATTAACTTAGAAACTCCTGGAATAGCCTAATTGTGCATAAGAATTGCATATACTACATGTAGTAGTGTACTTTTTTTTTTTATGCTGACAAAAAGACAAAATTTTAATGTCAATTAATTATCCATTCTATGTACCTGTACATTTGCAGGAGATGTGTCTACTGTAGTGTATATCTATAAGCAACTATAAACATCTCGGACCAAGGATATATATTGTTATTTTATTAGTAATGTTGATGACGTGCAACAAGAGAACTATTACCCCTCCTCCTCCTCCTCCCCCCAATCACACACATACATGTATAAATAAAAAAGAAATAGCCGCTAAAAGTCGTAGAAAATCTAATTTATACCAAACTCAAACTCAAAATAAATATAACAAAATATTAAAAGAACACGACTTGGTGGTGTTTTATGAATATTTATATCAGTCACGATTTCAACAGACACTTTCCTTTTTATATTAGGGGGAAATACATGTCAAGTTGCTCTGTAAATAGTATGGGTGGATAAGACTCTCCCGAGTAAGAAGGTGGAAAAGGAGAAAATTCTGTACTAAAGCATATTTCCTATGGTGGATAATAAAGCAGGGGTTGCTTCTTCCAAGCTTGCTGCATGTCATTTCCGGAATTTTTCATTGCATTTCCGACATCTTTTGTTTTCATTTTTTTCACATTTTTTAATTTACATTCCCGACATTTTTTTACGTTTCCGGATTCTTTAAGGCCCCTTTCTGGCAATTTAATGTTAACCAAACAGGCGGAAATAGAATTTTAACAGGATATAAATATTTAATATAACATTTATGTCAAATCCCATTTTTCCTATTAAAAACATTACAATACATGCAACACTAAGTCTAGTAAAAATACAAAGTCTAGTAAAAAATGCAATAAATAATTTCAGTAATAAAACATGCAATTTTTGATCACCAAATTTTAATGCCCACTGAATTAAATGTGTTTGAAAGCACCGAAAAACAGAATCCCCTTAACTGTGATTACTTTATTACCTCAAACATAGTTTCTGTATGTCATAAATTCTATCTTAACCTTTCTGATCTCAAATTCAATCTGATTATTTTGATTTGAAAAGATGAGCAAAAATTCAGAAAACTTACATGTGTCCGAGGATAAAATCATCGTAAGATTCTTTTAAATATAAGCAGAACTTATTATTTGGAAATCAATGAATTATTCTTGATCTATTCTTTAATTTATTTTTTTTTATAATTGAAATTTCAATTCTAGCTTCATTGCTGGAAAAGTACTTTATGATAAATGTCAGAGATGAAAACTTTAAAAATGTCAGAAATGAAAATTACAAAATGTAGGAAATGAAATGAACAATATTTTTAAAAAAATTCCGGAAATAAAATCCTATGCTAGGCTCATTTTCCAAAAGGGGGGGGGGGGTCTTTAAACCAAAGCTCGTTTTCCGAGAAAAATTAATAAAATATTCATGCGGGAGGAACGTCTACAACATCGGTACTTTTTAAACTATTTGACATGTATCAACATAATTTTGTTATACCCCACCCACCAAAAATACAACAAGACCATTTATAATCTTTTCTTTGGGGGGGGGGGGGGGGGCTGTTGTTCAACTCGACTGACTTTGGTTTGATTTTGCCAATTAATGCACATCTTCCTTAACCAGTGTTAACCCCGGGGTAATATCAAGTAGAACAATATAATCGTTAGTCTTTAACTGGATAAGAAATAGGGCTGGGACGATACAACTTTTTCTATATCGATATGTATCACGATATTTGAGCCACGATACGATATGTATCACGATATGTGTAATTGGTTATAAAATCTTTTTTGGCATTGAAATAAACAAAATATTTCTTTGCAAAAAAAATAATTTATTCAAAATAGTTTTTTATATGTTGTAAAACAAAAATATTTTACTCAAGTGGTGTTAATTATTATTTATTTCATATCTATATTTATATTTTGCTTATTTATTTTATATATTAAACCCCTGGCCAAATGTTAAATAAACAGAGAAAAACAGCAGTCAGAATTTTTTTTGCGATATTTCGATATTTCTACATATGTATCGATATGCGTATCGTCTTCACAAAGAATCGATATTATCGATATCTCGATATATCGTCCCAGCCCTAATAAGAAACGATGGTTATAAAAACACAGGGGATATGCGACTTCAAGTTTTGTCAAGTGAGACAATAGGCCTACCCCCAATGCACAGACATGTTGTTTTAACAACAACGGGGTATAGGCTAGTACATCGTAACACAAGTCTCTGTCACAGTGACCCTCCAATTATTTTATAGTTACATTGTAGCTACAATATGAATCGTAAGAATTATGCATAGTTATTATTAATAATATAACGAAATATCTTTTAAAAGATATGAAAATTCTTTTTGGGAAGTGGAAGTCGAACGTTGTTAGGAAAGAGACTGTAATGAAATGATCATGGTTGGACTTACGAACACTGTATAATGAATAATGTGCCAGTGAAGGTATACGTATTATATATATATATATATATATATATATATATATATATATATATATATATATATATATATATATATATATATATATATATATATATAATTTTGCAATGATAATACATGTATTTATATCACTTAAACTATAAGACACAAATCGTACATTATTTTCCCATAAGGATTCGATCAACAGATCTTTTGCATTTTAAAATTTTTTGTTTTGTGCACTACCAAGGAGGTATGTTCTAAGATAAGGAGCTTACATCAAATTTTGAATTATTTTTTGATAGATAATTTGAGGTTTTGTATTGAAATATTTGATAGCATTAGAAATATAATTAATTAAAATTGACTAACGAAATCCAGCAACTAGCGAGATATCGCAAGACTTGTTCCTGTTAGTATATATACAATGTACATGTAAGTACCTGGAACTAGCTCCATTTTGCTGGGAGGGACACTATTATAACAACTATACCTTAAATAATTTGAAAAGATTAATTAAGCAAATTAATTTCGAATCAATAAACATATTAAACCGAAGGCGGACCTTTTATTATAGAGGCAGGCTGGACCTTATATGTTATCGTATTAGGCCCTTTAGCTTTTTTGTCATACACTAAGACAATGTCAGCCAGGACTATATTATTTTCTCCCGCTTCCAAACCCTCCATAGATACTCATGTTACTTCAGCAAATCTAATCACTTCTCATTTGGAGAGTACAAATTCATTATAAGATTTGCTAGACCAGAGTCGCAGTTCGAAATACATGCGTAAACGGCAAAGATACCTGTATATGTTTAATCCTTAATACTGCAAAAATGTGCACATCAACATCCAGATTTTAAAAAAAAACACATTTCCCATATGAACCACACGGATATTTATGTGCAATTCTCTCGTATTCTGGAAAGTGGATATCTACTTAAAAGAAATTCTAAAAAAAAAAAAAAAAAAAAAAAAAAAAAATTCTAAAATAACTATGCATGATAAATAATCTTCAGGTGTGAACTTGCTACAACACGAGTAAATAATTATTTATCATACCTAATAATTTCAAGAATACTGACAATACAAGTCGTGCACATTTTTTTAAATGTGTTACTATGGTCGATATTAACGCACTTTGAAAAGAAATATATCTGTTTCAAATTGCGTTAATTTAGTTTCAAATTTAACGCACTTTGAATTTTTTTCAAAGTTCGTTGTAACACTGCATTTTCAACTAAAGAATGCCAGGTTAAATGTTTTAAGCAGGTTAAAGTGTTTGGAGCAGCTATAAAATATACAAGCACTTGTTGACCAGATTTGCTTTATTTTAGATATTCGGATGCACACTACCACACTTGCTTCAGATGCTGAAACTCTCCTACATTGTCTTGACGAGTGAGCATGTTAAAGGTTTTGGAGGGGGTATCAGTCTTATGTTTGTTTGTTTGTTTGTTGTTTAACGTCCCTCTCAAAAATTTTTTTCACTCATATGGAGACGCCACCACTTACCGGTGGAGGGCTACAAATTTTTACCTATGTTCGGCACTCAGGGCCATTGAGCAGTGAGGGATCTTTTTTCGTTCCAGCACCTGCTGCGACACGGGTCCTCGGTTTATACCATCTCATCCACGTCCCACAGTGGGATTCGAACCCGCAACGTAAGGATCATCCTTACTCCGCGACTCTAGAGCAGACGCTCTAACCACAGCGCCACGCGGGCGACCAGTCTTATGTAATTTGATACATCTTGGGCTGCATTCTATCACTCACATGGTTCAGATGCTTGATTTTCCTCATAATTTTCAATTGATTGTCAAACCAATAAAGTTCACAGTAAAATCCAAAGAAATAAAGAAATAAATAATGGTGAAAAATGAAATCAACATACATGTGTATGTTCGCTCAACATATAAAAACGTAAAACTAAACACAAATTAATTCAATGATCATGAGAAACATGTCAAGCAAAATATTTTTAAAATATGATTTATAAATTTTTAGGAGCATATGCTGATAATACAATAAGATGTTCTTCGTTTTTTTCAGCTAGGCAAACATAAATTCAACGTATATATTCAACAAATTTAAAAACATATGGAGCAATTTTACCTTTCTACTTTGTACAGCATGGAACGCAACATAGAAAAATGTTTTTCCTTTTGAATGACCAACCATGTACATGTTCAAACAATTCGAAATATTACTTAGTTAAGTGAACTGATCTACTACAGTGTACTTGAAAAATCCTCAGACCATTATAGTAAAAAATTAAAAAGAAAACATGTGTCTTTGTTTATGTGTTTCTGTCTAATTGTTCTTTAACCCATTCTATTCTAATATATGTAGCTTCTTGTATTCCATGGTATGCTTCCTGTTTAAGCGACTCCTGATAAGACTGCAAAGCCCCGTGTAAGTCTCCAATAATATGCTGACAGATCCCCAGTATCTGCCAGGATATGTCTATAAATTTTAAAGGCACGTAAGTCCCATCATCATAGAGCAGCAGTGTCTGTAGGTCTGTCCGTGACTGTAAACACTGAGATCTATTACCTAGTCTATAGTGAGATAACACTGACAACATTTCTACCATAACAAACGGTGATATTTCTAAGATTGGAAATCCATTTTGTTGAATTACACTTTGTTCAAAAATTAGTTCTTCAATACATGGATTATTGTCGGATATCCTCACATTGCATACCCAGGTCATTGTCATCCTTCTAGACAAAGATAGATTACCTAAAGCTTCATTGTAACTATGCCAATCAACAGCTGGTTTGCTATAATAGATAACAAAGTCCTGCGACAGTCTTCGCTTAGTGAGAAAAGTGATAAGTAGAGTTTTATCATATCTCCCTGTTCTATAGTAATACAATGCTAGATATAATGAATAAGACGCGGGGCCTAACTTTGCTACAAGTTTCAGCATGTTACAGATCATTCTATCTAAGATGTAGATATTTTTATGTGTGTAACCTGAGGTACTATTTGCCATTATGAAGGCTAATTTAACAAGAGTCTCAGCAGTACAATACTGTAATGTTAATAATTGGTATGGTAAAATTGATAACCGTGATAGTTTATCAATTGATGTCAAGTAGAGATAACAATGGCATAGCTCTTCAATACGAAACGAGAGGCCCAATATCTCCTGCATGCCACACAAATTTATATCTGTAATATTCTCAGTAAAGGATACTGCAAAGGACAGGTTACAGAGGGCAGGTTCTAGGATTGATCTGAGAGTCGGACTCAGCAGTAAACAGGACACACCCATTCTGTAATACTGATAAAGCTGTTGTAAAAGAGATTCACGTGTATCACCAACTACTTTGTTTAGGAACATATTGTTTTCTGGAATAAAAAAATTGGAAAACTCTCCACGATAAACAAAATGAATCAGGTATTTGAAGCACTTCCAAAAGCAGTCCAAAAAATTAATTGGGTGCCAATTAACGTGCCCCAATTGCATTATCCAAAACACTGTGGTCTTCATGTAATACGAACACAGTATTGGTTCTTGTCGGTTATTCATAACTTCCTTCAAAAATATTTTCAGAAGTCCGTAACACAGAAATTGTGTATGATTCATGGTACACACTAGTTGTTGTTCGGCCAGAGAAAACGACAATCTCCATTCAAGTTCGTTATAAGGCGAATCAAGTTTACTTCCAATAGGTACACAGTGACATCCATTTCTTAGAATTTTTTCCAACACAGGTACAGGCGGCCAAGCATGTCTCTGGCATCTTTCCACCAAATTTCTTAAGAATTTATTGCAACAAATAATGGCAAAACAAAGAGCATGATCGACTTCAACAGATTTAAAAAAGCCATTTGTACAAGGGCCATGAATGGTTTTATTTTTGTATGAAGAAAATCTGTTACCTGTTAAGAGATTAAAAAAAGTATTCCTCGTTAAAGAACTTGATATGTAAAGACCGCCATTAAAAGCAACAAGACATGAGTTTATGAAACTGGATTGTGCATAATTTGGTGTCAGAAGGCGTAGTCTGACAAATCCTGGTGGTGTTTCAGAATCTTCCATCAATATTATTTGATGTTTTGAGGAATTGTAGATCCGGAAATGGCAGATGTCAGTTATTAGTTTACAATTACAAAGCCAGAGCATTCTATCCCTGTCAGATGATGTAAATCTAAATCCCTCTCTATAACTACCACTATCCATCAGTATAAATCCTATATGCATGTAAAGAGGACTTTTTATCCTCTCCTCTATGTCCAACACGTCCCTTCTGATGGCCACTTCTGTCGGTGTCCCTATCTCACGACACAGACCAATATACAGGACCTCTGATAGACGGGGAATATGATCCATTCTATATAAATAAGATTACAGTGCTTACGGTAGTTCCGGATCATCGGTAGTTCCGGATCACTTTTTTGTGTATTAATTCTTTTAAAAATAATTGTTGAAGAAAAATTATTATCGATATATCACATGCGAAGAACAGGGGGTATTACTACTTCTAATAAAAAATCGAACTTTACCATGCACGATTTCGATACTTAGTTGCGTCAGAAATAAAGCGCCCCAAAGACGAAGATCGGTGTTTTGACAGTTTGGTAGAGTCTATAACATAAGGTGTCATAACAGTATTTCACTTGAGGTTCACGTCAAATCATGGCTGACACAAAATAATTCCTGAATCTTCCCTTCCGATTCGGGCATTTTAACACGAGACTGGAGCTGAATTTTTTTATGAGATGAAAAACAATATGTAAACTTCCTATATTGACTAGATTCATTAAAATTTAGGGCGTGCTGAATTTTCTATATACTGTATTTGAGTGGGGAGTGATTAGGTCCTGGACTTGATTTTCAAGCACCTGCTCGACTTCGAGCGAGACAAACTTGCGTGCCTTGCTGGATGGCTATGTATTTTTTGGTACTAAAATCTTTATAAAGAATTGTTTTACAAGATCTGAAAAGGAAACTTCTCAAAAGTTTGTTTTCAATTAATACCACCTACTCAAAGTTGCGCATTTTTGGTAAGAATATATAGCAAAATTTAATACTGTTGTGCAACCATAACCCAGTCACGGATTTCGGGAAAATTATTTCCGGTATGGTTTTCAAATGTACAATTTGCTTTAACACCGAACCCGATTGTATTTTTCGTGACATTGAGGCGGGAAATCCAAGTAAGGAAAGTTCGAGGTATTGAATGCCGTTATCCTTTCATCTCAGCAACTGTATGAAATGGATGAAGGACCAAGGTAGGAATGTTGTCTGAAGATAATTATGATATAGTGAATATGCGGTATTCAAGAAATTCTCAACACCTGGATAAAGTTTTGTAAAGATATAATCACTGATAATAACCGGATTCAAAGAGAGAGGGTGCCAAATTTAGTCGAGTGTTAACAGTTTTTTTTTTATTATTATTATTTTCTTATCCATAGTGACACTTGGAAAGATCTGTTCGATGTAAGATCAACATCACTATCTGGGTATGTGACATCTTCCACAAAATTGGACAAGTTGTTACAGGAGTATGATTATGCAACTTCCTCTAGGTTCCGTTGTTTAAAAAGTTCCAAACAATTTGGAAAGGATGTTGGTAAGGTCTTGTTGCGATATTTTATTTTTAAATGCAACTTTAGCAAAATAATTTCTTGAATCTTCTCATTATTGTAACCATTTTAAGCTCACCTGAACCATAGACTCATGGTGTCGGGTGGTTACATTTTGATTCCGTGTTTGACCTGCATGGTTACGACCTATCAAGTGGTTTTGACCTGCTCACAGGTAAGTACATGGGTAGCTGTATATTGATAACATAATAGCTTTTAAATTAATAATTAAAATATGCATTGTCGATAAAAAAAATCCTATTTAGACAAAAACAAAATGTGAAACTGTTGCAAGTGTTAATTAATTGCTTCAGAACGAAACCACTTGTGTCGAACATGGATTTATGTCGAAACCACGCAGGTCGAACAAGTAATAGGAAGGTAACCATCCCCATTCTAGGCTCAGTTGAGCTTATGTGATTAAAATTTGTCCATTGTCTGTGTTGTTGGTGTTTTGGGTATTGTAAACATTTTAAAAACTTCTCAACTTTTTCTCCAGAAAAGTTGTCATGAGAAGTTGAACTTAGAAACTTTTTTATGTATTTGTTCAAAGTAACACCCCCCCCCCCCTCCTTATCAGATTCACATTTGTTAATATCAGTTTACACTGAAAATTCTCTTGCAATTACTGTAGATGTAGGAGAGATTGATAAATCCCATATCAGATTTGTGGACACACAGGAAAATGCTGAACCCCATATAGAATATGATGCTATCCTTTTCATTATTATGGGCAAAAAAATCTTGGAATGTCACCAGGGATATGACAGAGACAAATGAAACAACCAAAAGAAACAAAGCAAAGCAAGAAAAGATGTAAGTATGCATTATTTATTCTACTTCTAATAAACTAATAATGAGGCAAAGATGAGGACTGAGAAGGATAACCCACTGTCTAGGGTTTCACATTACATTTTATGAGAACTAGACCAGTTGGGCTATGGTATATCCATTCTCTGGGGAACAATATAACCCAGTCACTGAGGAACATAACCCAGTCACTGTTCAACATAACCCAGTCACTGTTAAACATAACCCAGTCACTGTTCAACATAACCCAGTCACTGAACAACATAACCCAGTCACTGTTCAATATAACCCAGTCATTGTTTAACATAACACAGTCACTGTTCAATATAACCCAGTCATTGTTTAACATAACACAGTCACTGAACAACATAACCCAGTCACTGTTTAACATAACCCAGTCACTGTTTAACATAACCCAGTCCCTGTTTAATATAACCCAGTCACTGTTTAACATAACCCAGTCACTGAGGAACATAACCCAGTCACTGTTCAACATAACCAAGTCACTGTATAACATATCCATGTCACTGTATAAGATAACCCAGTCAATGAGGAACATAACCCAGTCACTATACAACATAACCTAGTCACTGAACAACATACCCAGTCACTGAACATCATAACCATGTCACTGAACAGCATAACCCAGTCACAGAGGAACATAACAAAGTCACCGAACAACATAACCAAGTCACCGAACAACATAACCCAGTCACTGTTTAACATAACCCAGTCAATGTTCAACATAACCCAGTCACTGTTCAACATAACCCAGTCACTGAACAACATAACCCAGTCACTGTTCAACATAACCCTGTCAATGTTCAACAAAACCCAGTCACTGAACAACATAACCCAGTCACTGTTCAACATAACCTAGTCACTGAGAAACATAACCATGTCACTGAACAGCATAACCCAGTTACTGTTTAACATAACCCAGTCACTGTTTAACATAACCCAGTCACTGAACAACATAACCCAGTTACTGTTTAACATAACCCAGTCACTGTTTAACATAACCCAGTCACTGAACAACATAACTCAGTCGCTGTTTAACATAACCCAGTCACTGAACAACATAACCCAGTCACTGTTTAACATAACCCTGTCACTGTTCAACATAACCCAGTCACTGAACAACATATCCCAGTCACTGAGGATCATAACCCAGTCACTGTTCAACAAAACCCAGTCACTGTTCAACATAACCCAGTCACTTAGGAACATAACCAAGTCACTAAGGAACATAACCCAGTCACTGTTCAACATAACCCAGTCACTGAACAACATAACCCAGTCACTGAACAACATAACCCAGTCACTGAGGATCATAACCCAGTCACTGTTCAACATAAGCCAGTCACTAAACAACATAACCCAGTCACTGAGGAACATAACCCAGTCGCTGAGGAACATAACCCAGTCACTGTTCAACATAACCCAGTCACTGAACAACATAACCCAGTCACTGTCCAACATAACCTAGTCACTGAGAAACATAACCATGTCACTGAACAGCATAACCCAGTTACTGTTTAACATAACCCAGTCACTGTTTAACATAACCCAGTCACTGAACAACATAACCCAGTTACTGTTTAACATAACCCAGTCACTGTTTAACATAACCCAGTCACTGAACAACATAACTCAGTCGCTGTTTAACATAACCCAGTCACTGAACAACATAACCCAGTCACTGAACAACATAACCCAGTCACTGTTTAACATAACCCTGTCACTGTTCAACATAACCCAGTCACTGAACAACATATCCCAGTCACTGAGGATCATAACCCAGTCACTGTTCAACAAAACCCAGTCACTGTTCAACATAACCCAGTCACTTAGGAACATAACCAAGTCACTAAGGAACATAACCCAGTCACTGTTTAACATACCCCAGTCACTGTTCAACAGAACCCAGTCACTGAACAACATAACCTAGTCACTGAACATCATAACCATGTCACTGAACAGCATAACCCAGTTACAGAGAAACATAACCAAGTCACCGAACAACATAACCCAGTCACTAAACAACATAACCCAGTCACTGTTCAACATAACCCAGTCACTGAACAACATAACCCAGTCATTGAACAACATAACCCAGTCACTGTTTAACATAACCCAGTCACTGAACAACATAACCCAGTCACTGTTTAACATAACCCAGTCACTGAGGATCATAACCCAGTCACTGTTTAACATAACCCAGTCACTGAACAACATAACCCAGTCACTGAACCTTTATCTCAGCATAGCTCTTTTTTTTTGTAGTCTGACCACACATGTAGACGAAAGCGTAGATTGGTGCAGAACAGCAAAAAGAAAGCTTGTCCTGTTCGAATAAAGATTCGTCATGTTGTGAAGTTTTCAAGCTATTTGGTATGTATTAATTTGTATTATAGACTCACTAAAAATTGAAAAATATCGATAAATGTAATGTGTAAATATGTTCAGTGTTTATGTGTTGATGTACATTTTGCTGTTTAATATTTTAAATGAATACAAGACACAATTTACTTTTATATAATTTAAAGCTTTCAAGTAAAGAAAACACACCTCATCATCAAAGGAAACTGGTTAAGAATCTTATTATTATTAGATAATTATTAGAAGCATGTGTACATACAGTTTTATTTTGTCATTTCATTTTTGTAGGTAAATATGTTTTTCTTTTATTTTAGATATATGCCTTGTTCAAAGGTGAGGCATTTGGGAGAGAGTTCTACAGTTCTTACAGTAAGTATACACAGTTATAAGAGAAAGCAATTCCCTTTGATTATGTAGAGCTAGGTTTGATAATTTTTTTTTAATTGATAAACAAATCTGTGTTTTAGGAGGGAAATGAGGTTTACCCATTATAATATCTTTCATCCAAATATTTTTTTTTTATCAAAAGCTGACAAATAGAAAACTGCCGAAAATGTTTTCTTCAGACCTTTTAACAATATAAGCAGAGGGAAAAAAATAGAATATTAATAGAATAGAATATTATTTGATCTTTGATATAAAAATGGCCTGTGAACTTTTTAAGCAGAACTTTGGACTTATAGTCACAGACCAAAACATATAAGAGTAAACAGTTGCAGTAATGAAAGATGCTGTCAACACATACTATCAGAAAACGGCCGGTTTGTCAGATTGCTTCTTTAGTTAAATTTTGTAAGTACCTCGATAACAGGCTAATGCAAAACTTCAAGAGAGATTAATCCCTTGCATATCTAATGAATGAAAATCCAGTGTATCAATGCAAGCAGATCCACTTTTATTTTTTTAGCAGATTATCAAAATTAATGAAACTTGAGATTGTTAAGACATTTTGACGATATGATCCATGTTCTGTAAGGTGATACCATATATATGACATATAATGCCATATTTACACATATATCTATATAAAAATTGCTACAGCTGTATATGTACATTTAGGAAATTATTGTGTTAATGAGTGTAGTGTAAATTTAAGAGTGCAGTGCTGTTTTTTTTTTTTTTTTTTTTTTTTGTTGTTTTTTTTTTTTTTTTTTTGATTTTTTTTTTTTTTTTACATTTAGTCATTTTATAATTTTACTGGACAACCCTTGTATTTTGGTCATAGCGATATAGATGATACAAATGAAAATTCTTATTAAATGTGCTAGTCATTAATTCATCATATTTTTTCCACTAAACAGAAAGCTTCAGAACAGATATCAGAATGCAATGCCTGGTTGCACAAGAGTGTAAAAGCTGAAGTGAGTATAATAATAATATTTAATATACATGCAATTCATACCTTTAGTATATAAATGCATTCCAATGTCTTTCTGGTTACTTTCCGTGTCACCTGACCCATTAAATATTCCTATGAGCATTTCTGATGAAACAAATTCTTCTGGTGTTCATCAAACTATTTTTAAACTATTTACATTATAAAAATAAAACATTGTTATGATGTTTTAGGGTAACACATTAAATTGATATCCTGTGAAAACCATTGCTGACTGATGCAAAGCTGAGGTCATCAATGGTTTTCAAGGGATAATAATTTCACATGTTACCCTAAAAACTATTATTAGCTCACCTGAGCTGAAAGCTCAAGTGAGCTCTTCTGATCACCCGTTGTCCGTCTGTTAATTTTTCACATTTCCATCTTCTTCTCAAGAACCACTTTGCCAATTTTAACCAAAGTTGGTACAAAGCATCCTTTGGTGAAGGGGAAATTAAATTGTTAAAATAAGGGGCAAACCCCCTTACAAGAGGAGATAATCAAGAAAAGGCAAAAATAGGATGGGGTCATTAAATAATCTTCTTCTTAAGAACCACTGGGCCAGAAAAGCTTAAACTTATGTGGAATCATGCTGGAGTAGTGTAGATTCTAAATTGTTAAAATCATGATCCCCGGGGATAGAGTTGGGCCACAATAGGAATCAAATTTTTACATTGAAATATATATGAAAAAATCCTTGGAGATCTCCTTTTCAAGAACCACTGGGCCAGATATGCTGAAATTTATGTGGAAGCATCCTGGAGTAGTGAAGATTACAAATTGTTAAAATCATACTCCTGGGGGTAGGGTGTGGCCACAATAGGTATAACACTGGGGAAAGTCTGGTGAAGAACAGCAGGGCCAAAGTTACTCAGGTGAGTGATTATAATTAGTAGTAGTTCTATGCAATGTCACTGTTGCTATGTAATGTTACGTGGAGGGCATAGTTTACACATGCCGTAGGGTAGCAGTACTTTTTAACAAATGTTTTTAAACCAATCAAATTTGACTTAACATAAAAGTATAACAATAAGGTTTGTCTATATTGTTCATGAAAAATTAACATTTTTTGTTTATAGACTGAACAGTCCATGAAACTGGTTAACATTTTGTGCGAATGGCCAAGGATGGATCTTCCATAAACAAGGGAACAGGAAACATACAAGGCTACAATATAGCAACGATGGTAATTTTTAATAAAATCTGTTGCATGCATGGTTATCAAACAGCCCTGGGTTCAGAATTTAATTCTGTCTTATTTATCACTCAATTTTACTGTTTATTTCACACAATCATATGGTGTGATCTGACTTTCTGATCAGTTTTCTTAATCCATATCAACACTTTCTGAAACTGACTCAATCTTCAGGTCAAGTTAGAGAAATTTATTAAGAATTGATGTTTAGATATATAAACAGCATGATATATATATAAAAGCTCAACAATGAAGATTATAGTTAAAAAGGGGATAGTATAGCCTGCTCTAAGTGATTAGTAGTAGTTCTATAACACTACCTGTTTATGGCAGACACATTTTCAGGAGAAAAATTGCCTATAATTACTTAAAAATTTTAACAGTTTGCAAAAGACATCAAAACAAAGATGAAGGAAATATTGGAATTAGAAGAGGGTGATAAGAGGTAAATAATAAACATTGAAAGCAGCCTATTTACTTTTAAATTATCTTCATTAAATTTATGGGCAATAAAATGATATTCCATTTATTGGAAATTAAAGAGATTTTATGGTATGTCTTTCATAGTTTAACACTGTTTCATGCACTTTGGTTTACAAGATGTACCGTAACAACTGGTTAAAATTAAATTAACTTGATCGAGTGTTATAATATTCCTTTCACAGGTGTTATGAACCACACTGGAGACATCTGCGATGGATTGACAGGAATAACTTGACCGACCATAATGTGATGAATAACTCTGTGAAAGGAATGGAAGAAAGAAATAAACTTTTTCATAAAGAGGTAACATCCATATGTACTCTCTCTAGATTTTAATGTATAAGCATACAATGTATTTTACAAGGCTAGTCCTGCATATTCTTGCTCATGCGCAAGTGTTGTTATGGATACTGATTTATAACATGATTGTTTTCTTTTTTATTGAGTCTTTCTCTACTCATGATATATATATATATATATATATATATATATATATATATATATATATATATATATATATATATATATATATATATATATATATATATATATATATATATATATATATATATATACAGTTGAACTTCGGTATCTCAAACACGGATATCTCGAATCTTATGGATATGTCGAAGTGTGATTTGGAAGTCCAAAGCACTTAATATTTTAAGTATTTTACCCCCAATATCTCGAACCCTCAGATATCTTGAAGTTTATTCTCGGTCCCATTGAGTTGGAGATAATGAGGTTTGACTGTATATATATATGTGTGAGTGTGTGGGTGTGTTAGAGAAGGAAACAAGTTTATTTGCCTATTTTTTTCCCTCCCAATAGAGATGGGCTGAAATGAGTGCTCTTGTTTTAGAAGAATTTGGCTTGTTTAAACCAAAAACAATCATGTAAGTTTATACCTCAATTTAATTTGATATTCTATATTATATAGCTATATAAACTTACGACGGAAGATGAATCTTAACCTGTCACCTTAAGAGCTTTGTGAATATTTAACTCTTGGAGTGAAGTAAATTGTCATCAAGACTTCATATAAGTCCGACTAAGATTTATAAATAAATTTCTAGACATACATCATCAGTACATCTGCTTACTAAGGATTGATTTCAAGAGGTAGACATAATGTACCCATTAAAGAATATTGTATGTACTATAAATTTTTTTTTTGGTGATAACTTTATTTTTGCATATTAGCGAGACTGTTTGTAGGGGAAAATTTCATTCACACATAATATTCCTCTTATAAAGATTATATAGGGCAGATACCAAAAGTTGTGAAAATTTTGTTTTGCTTGTAAATATCAAATGAAAGAAGCACACATTTTGCATCAAGCTAATTCCACTCCCCCTTTTCAACAAATTAAAGACGACTAAGTCATGTTCAGCATTCTTCATTGTACTTTTTTAATAAAAAAATTGTCGATTTTAGTGGTCTCTTCAGTCCTCCAGGATATTACCTTAGTTTGAAAAACTGCAATAATGGAAAGCTTATGGCAACACTGGAAGATGAGTATGATACTTTTTTATTCATCCTTGTTGAAGAAAATGGAGAGGCATGTTGTGTAATGTCAGTCAGGGGTTATTTTTGTAACTAAATTGTTAACTTTTAAAGTAAACCATATGTCTCTTCATATCCATAATTTAATCATAATTCACGTCTGATTTTTTCTTGATTTGATTGATCTCCCTAGACAACTTTATTCTTAATTATTTTCATTCTCTTTTAGGACAGGACAGAGATTGAATGAAGGAGTTAGATACTTTAAGGATGTATTGCTTGTAGAAGCAAGAATCATTATCGCTTCTGTTGTCAAGAACATAACATATAGAGAAGCTGAAGAACTTCTCTATCCATTGAAATAACAAATTTATGTTCCGGTTGATTGAGTTTGCAAATTTGATATATATTGGAATATTTCGATTGTGATAGCATTGCAAAAGATGTTCTACATCAATTGCTATATGACATGTTGAACAATATTTGTTTGCAGATTCTTTACAGTTATTATATATCACCACTGATGAAATATTGTTATAATGTAAAATGGACTCTGTCAGGGCTGATCAATTGTACTTGGTTACTCTAGATGAACTCATAAACTCTAATAATTGTGATTTCATTCAAATCAAATCCACACCAGACCAACCTGTTTTATCATTAATTCCTACTAGAAACATTAGTTTAAATGTAGGAAGAATTTGATAAAATTTGATGTAATTTGACTTTGAAAATATCTATTAAAGTTTTGTTTTTCTGACAAGTGACATGAATTTCACATGCAGAATTCATACCATTGGATTTGGGTGTAATTTAAAAGGAACACTTGTGCAGCCATGCATTATTTCTTAAATAGTACCTGAAATACATTTGTATGGTCTTAATATTGTGTGGCCATTTTTTTCCCCTAGGATTAATTGATCTACGTTATTTTTATCTTTAAGTTCCTCAGTGACTAAACCCAATTTGTATAAAAATTGGGAGCAGAGCTCTAGAAAAAGGCTTAACATTAGTTTATGTTCCAAATAATGATTGTGTCAAATAAATTATTTTCCTTACCACTTTTGTATATATGCCTTATATATGGAGACCAAATTATGCACATTAATTCATATTCAATGCTTGGGTTATGTTTCTCAGTGACTGGGTTATGTTGTTCAGTGACTGGGTTATGTTCCTCAGTGACTGGGTTATGTTGTTCAGTATTTGGGTTATGCTGTTGAGAGACTGGGTTATGTTGAACAGTGACTGGGTTATGTTCCTCAGTGACTGGGTTATGTTGAACAGTGACTGGGTTATGTTGTCCTGTGACTTGGTTATGTTGTTCTGGGACTGGGTTATGTTGTTCTGGGACTTGGTTATGCTGTTCTGTGACTGGGTTATGTTTCTCTGTGACTGGGTATGTTCCTCAGTGACATGGTTATGTTGTTCAGTGACTGGGTTTTGTTAAAGAAGGACTTGGTTTTGTTAAACAGTGACTGGGTTATGTTGTTTCATTTAAGCTCGCAATTGAGAAAGAAAAAGAAGAAAAGAGAAAGAAAAGCTAGAACAGTGCAGTTTTGAGGGATTTACTTGTAACATTTTGAAGTGATTGCCAAAAAAAAAATTAAAATATAACAACCCATTTTTGCCAGAAAGTTTTATAGTCAGTAAGTTTTTTATCATCTTTTACAGTGTATTTCAAAGCTGTAAAATAGGATTTATATAAATATAGAAAACCATGAATATCTACTAAATTATGTGTGTTCATTATCTCACAGTTGAACAGTGAATTGGTTATGTTATTGATTGGGTATAATATGTTGAACAGTGACTAGGTTAGGCTTTCCAGTGACTGAGTAAAGTTTCACAGTGACTAGGTTATGTTGTTCAAAGACTAGATTATATTGGTTTGTAACTGGGAAATTTTTTTCTGTGACCTAATGGCTATAAACCAGGGTCATATTAAAGAATCATCACTTCTTGTAAAACTGCAAGTCAACAAGTTAGGGATTTTTGTTTTTTCACTGTATGTGATTGTCTTTATGGGCGGGATTCCTTTTACCCTCGGGAGATTAACGTAAGAAATTCAAGTCTTTTCTGCTGTGCATACACTAGATGGCATACACACATGCTAACTAGGTCACTAGTTCTACCAGTGGCTAAACGCAATCTATTAATTTATCATGTTATAACTATTAAATACCCTAACCTTTGAAAGTCGTTCATTCGCCTGAATGTCTTAATATTAAGACTCCGATTATGGCTGTTGATTGTATTATTTACCACACACCATAGTGTTTACAAAACTATATTGCATCGGGATCGAATATGCGTTATATTACAAAAAACCATACTGGAAATAATTTTCCCGAAAACCGTGACTGGATTATGTTGTAGACTCTACTTGACAGTTTTACACGTGCTTTTTAAGAAGAGTTGTTCTTTTTGTTAGACATAAGACGAGTAAGGAATTGATTGAACCCCATAAAATGTTTACTTGTTATATATTCTACTTCACCATATATAAGAAACTTATATCAATTAAACCTGTATATTTAAAACGAATAAACACTGTGAACCCACCGTTACTGCAGTTCCGGATCACTTCACTCCGCAAGAAGGATTGTCTCAAACATCGTTTAATCACGTTAACTGTATTATTCTGTATGATCACTTTTATGTGGTGAACACATTATCAAAATAAAATTAAAATAAAATATTTAATTTCTTTTGTTATTCAATCTCATTCCAGCACAGAATACTGACAACAAACACAGTCACGTACATGTCAGAGCTGCGTATTTTAAAGGATTTGCAATGTAGAAAAATTTATTATATAATTTTCTTATGTCTTAAAGAAAAAGTAAACTCCGTAATTATCATTTTGTACATTGTTTTTTAAACCTCTATAATCCACTGTAAATTGTTGGTGATATTCAACTAATAAATGATTTTTTTTTTAAATCTTAATTCATTAGAACTGCATGGATGCTTCGATCTATACTTCAATCTATTTTTCCAAAAACATGCATGTCTGATATTTATTTCTATTTAAATCGCATTTACTTCTGTTATAATAAATCCACCAATATAAATCATTTTTTTATATCACCAGCTTCAAAACTTAAAATATGGCTTGGTTCGTCATGTTCGTTGAAATCTGATCAGGTGTTCGATATATATTAAATTAATTTAACTTTTTTCCCTAAAAGATGAATGATTATCACACTTTAACTGCATAATCCATATTCATAATTATACATAATAACAAATTATTGAAATATTTCCCCTTTAAAAAAATTGATATAACAGTTGAATTTTGCTTTCTTTTTCTTCATCTTTCTAAATAAGGCCTAGATAAAGAGTTTAATTTCTATTCCATTCTGTGAAAAAAATATATGTTGAAAAATTTATATTTATTTACATATATTATAATAAACCTCAACATAAAAAGCATATAATGTATTCGGAACGAAACATTGCGGCGCAAACCATATCAGCGCAAAAGAGAATCGGCGCAAACCATCATGTAGCAAACCATGCACGGGTGCGAAACATCCCGTTACTGGTAATAAGAATAGGCACTCCCCAGCTTAATTGTTTAAAATATATACCTACTATACTATAGTTTAGTAATTATATATTTTAAACAATCAAGCTGGGGAGAGCCTAATGGTAATTAGCGTGATCCACAACTGTCGTAAGTGATCCGAAACTGTCGTAATTTTAGTTGTTGAATACACTTCGGTTACTTACGAAAGCAGAGTAATAAATTAATAAATCTCATTTTATATGAAAGGTACGAGAATGGGGCTCATAACAGTACGTAAATATTTATATTAATCTCGTTATTAATTTTCACTACAAATGTATAAATGAAAACTGATCCGGAACTACCGTTAACACTGTAGTACAGTTCTAAATATGCTATATTTAATGTATTGTAAGGAAATTAATGCATCAGTAATATGAAATTTTAACAAGTAATCAAGAGAGTACATCAATCAATATACTAGGCATTGTAAAGTTTGGATTAAGGTAATAATTAAGGTACTATTTTGCAGCTTAATTTTAACATTAATCTTAAAAAGTTAGTACCACTTAAATTACTTTATTCATGCTTTATGTAGACGGACATATCGTAATATTCTTGTATGTTGTTTGTGTATGTTATGCCGCCCTTTTCGGCCGAATTGTAAATACATTCTATCCAACTATTTTTTTATATACACATATATACATGAATCTTATTATAATAAAGATATTGCATACACATTTCAAATAACCCTGAGTAGTTTACCTCAGGCTGATTGAAGTCTTTCTACAAATGGCGGTCTGTTTCGCAGCAAATAAAGGAAATATCCGGCATTCTTTCGTTTTCTATTAAAGGAAGCTCTAAACACTGCACACAAAAGAGTTCTACTTTTAGAGTAGTTTTTGCAGTTAGAGTGATCTGCCCTTAGAAGTAAGATAGAAAAAATGGTTATGTACATTTAATTACACAATTTGTAATAGATTAAGATATTCCTAGCATTATATAAGACCGAAAATAAGTAATTGAATTCATAATTTCTATTAATTTTCCCAATGAAAGTAAACAACAGTTATTTCTGCTCACGAATAGTCTATTGTCTTTGAACATTTTTCCTGCGGAAATAAGGCAGTTACCCTATCTTGAAAATGAACTAAATAGTCTCAATATGCACACCCTTATATGATATTATATATATATATATATATATATATATATATATATATATATATATATATATATATATATATATATATATATATATATATACATTAGATTTTTTTTTACATTAGTTTGTATGAATAAAACGTTAATTCTACGTTATTTTTTTTTATTTTTCATATGGAATGCATTGTGAGTGTGTACTAGAAGATTAATTTATGAAAGAAGACAAATAAAAATATCCTTGGACTCGGGGTGTATATTGGGGAGGGGGGAGGGGGGCTGTCCACAAGCACCTGACATGTTTTTATTCTGGGTGTGAATTATACAGGAAATGACTTCTCGCTTGAATGCACACAGCTGACAAGAGAGTTATAGTAGATCATGTAGATAAGGATAGAAAATGAACACAAATTGTAAGAGACATCAAATATTAATTATTATCATCTTAATAGATTGAAAATAATGATCAACAAAATCGAAAGTAGAAAAAACACATCGTTGGTGAGGGAAAGTGCCGGAAAACAAAGCTGCTTATTTTACCTTCAAATAAATTAAGTCAACTTACATTGTAACTACAACTTAAAGTTGGATGAGGACTGAGTTTCAAAACAAAAAAGTATCAAGTCAACTACATTTAATGATGCCGTGTTTAAACTTTAAAGTTGATTCCCTCAGGTTCAGTGTTTCTAAAAGACTTTTTACAACAGGAATTACGTAATTTTTAAACTATAATTTTTTGATATAACGAGTTTTCATTGAATAATTTTTTTTTCATAGAAAAATAATGCCCTATACAATTTTTCCCCAAGCCCTCCCCTCCTTCAGAATTTTTTTTTTTTTTTTTTTTTTTTTTCTGTACTTGTTTACAAATATTACATAATACAAACAGGCAAAAAATAAATAACCACCTCAATACTCTATAAATTTTACATCATGCATTTGTTACATGTAACTATAATGTTTTGATGTGATGATTTTTCACTG